TGCTCGCGCCGGCATCTGTAACTAATGGCGCGCGATGTTCGCTGAAGCATCGGTAATTATACCTGAATGCGATTCAGTGTCGCGTACTCGAACGCATCGGAGCAGGCTGTGCCGGGATCTTGAGCGTCGGGCCTCTGCCGGTATCCAAAACTCCAGCCCGCGCCCTGGCGGCGTATACCAGAACTCGAACCGCTTCGCGTAGATTCGCTCGGAATAGCGGCGAAATATCATTTCGTCGCGCCGTTTCACCGCGAACACGAGGTGAGATTGCACGGCGAATTCTGCGGTAACGAAAGAACGAAACAGAGAACGGGAGAAAGAATGGAGACTCCGAGATTGGCACGAGGGGGTGGTTAGACCGGAAGCGGATGGAAAACCCGGGCTTCCGAAATTCCACGATACCTCGCGGAACATCTGCTTTGCTAAATTGGAGTTTCGCATTGATTTCTCGAGGTCAGTCGAGCATCAACCCGAACTTGGTCTTTCCGTTGCTCTAGCAGCCGCCCGAATCATTGCTTTCGGTACACCGAGTAAACTTAGTTAGCTAATATTCCGAATTGAATCCCGCGGAATGCAATATGAGAATCGCGAAGTTGCCAGTGTCGTGGTACGTCGCTGGGAATTATCGTATGCGATTATTGCGATTACTGAGTTGGTTAGCGAGGAAGATGACGATCCATCCCAAATTGTGGGCGAGAAAAATGGCGCGAATTGGTTACGATCCGTTTCGATTTCTCTCGCTTCGAGAATATACCCGACGCGAATCCTTATCGACATTTGCCTCGTTAATTACGTCAAAGCGTTCGACTTGGAAAGCGGCATTTCGATGATGCCGTTTGCGCGAGTTGGAAACGTGTACTTACAGGAGCAAATTTCTCTTCGTTATCATAATATCACGTAATTTAGCATCGGTAAGCCGTAGCACCTGCCGACTGGATCGCTCGTCTTGCTTCTCTTCGACCTGCAGTTTCGCACCGACTTGTCGGGTTAACCGACCGACACCTTGCTACCCGTCTCTAATCCTTCATCTCCCTTCGACTTCGGTCTACTAGGTAAACATTCTGGGGCAAATCCATGGAAGCTGAGCGGTACACGCCGAGAGAAGAGGGTCTTGCCGAAGAAGCCAGGCAGGCAATCGGGCTCGATAGCTTTAGCTCCGTCTAGGAAAATTCCAGGGGTCAGCGAAACTCGCGGAGGAAAGTGACGGACGATGAACGCTATTCGGGAACCGGTTGCTCGCTTCTCCAACCGATCGATTCGACATGGGAGCCTCGCTGAGCAGAGTCCTCCGTAATTCCTCGAGGTTCGACGAACCATCGCGATAGAGTCGTCGTTATAGCAATGTTTTGGATCCGATTTCGAGACTGCGGGGGTTTGGTTAACGTTGATTATGACGATGAGGTCTTCGTTGTCTCGGTCGGTTTTGGCTCTTGCGGTTCCTGATGAGCTGGTGTTCCCATGGTGCTTGCCTGTTGGTATCCCCTTGTCGCTGAGCTATGATAGGGTAGCAGGTAGAAGGACGTCAGGAAAAGGAAGGGACGAGCTAGTGGACTCGTCATTAAGGCTTACCAGCAGGCCCTGCCTTAGACGGGGATACTTATGTGGCGTAGGAACTTCTATTTAACACGTTAAGTGCCACGCTGGTCTTCAGGGACTAGCCCAGGCTAGGAACAATAGGTGCTGTTTTTTAGCGTTAAATTCTTCGCCATCTTTGGACCTAGCATTTGGGAATTTCTGTTGCAACAATTGATACAGTAGCTTCGAGTTTTACGAACACTTGGCCTGTCACTGGCGGCCCACTTGACGGCCGAGTCTGGGCCTGAACGGAACTGCAAGCAAAACGGGCTGGGCACTTAACGTGTTAAGGGAGGTGAAGGATTCACCGAGGACTCGCGAGAAAGTCCTCGAACCTCCTTGAAATAGGAAGAATCCGGAATCCGTCGCTGCGAGAGAAAAATTTGCAAATGCGCGAAGAAACTTTGTATTTCCGTGCCTTAAATATTGAAACGCAGAGTGCGGTGGGAGAGGGACACGACTGGCCAGGCCAGAAACCAGAACGTCCAGGTCTCTCGATCGAGCCATGATTCCTGACCCGACCACACGATCTCGTCCGTGGTCACGCGTGGGATCTACGCTAATGGATTGCCAGCCGATACGTCCCTCGTGATGCGAGCGAAGATAAGCGACAAGTATCGCGAAAATCCGAGTGCCTTCGACGGTTCGGCCGACCACGAAATTGCCGGCCCTTCATCGCCATGATTTTCATCGAATTAAGCGGTGTCGCTTTTCGCTTATAGGCGACGCTGCGCGTTCCATCGCCACTTTCTTTAATTTCCCCCAATTCCGGCTAATTACTTACCGATTTCTCTCCACTGCGGAGGAATTCAGAATGGCCGCCCGGCGGGAGGGGGTAGCGGGAACGCGGCAGCCACTTAGGCAAAGTGTCCCGGAAATGAGAAAATCGGCTCGGGTTCATTTTATAAACGCGGTTTCAGCCGTAGCACTGAAATAATCTCTATAAACAGCACATTGTAATCCTCCGTTTAATTAGTTCGTTAATTATACAGTAGCAATCAAGCACTTAATCTGTTTTTGGGCAGGCGCGATTTCATTGGCCCGGATGGTCGGTCACGGTAATAGACGATTAATAATGAAATAATTTAATTAACCGCTCGACAGCTGGTCTCGTTTGCGACCAAGTCCCGCGGTAAAACGATTAATTCGTTTAACGAGCATCGGCTCGCGACTTTCCCCGCAATTTTCCAAGATCCCATCGAAGAGGACCAGGTCTTTTCGCGCCCCCTTCGCGGGGGGCGGTTATCCTCGCGAGCCTTTCCGCTCGTTTACGCCCGGTCGCTAACTCGCGAACCGATGCCCGGCATCGATCGACGCCGGAGAGGGAGATTCGATGCCTGAAGCCGGATTAAGAACACGCAGTTGTCCCTGAAAACCGTGTGATCGTGGAGCCGCGTGAAACGAACATTCCCGTTAGCCCGTTGAGCCGAGAGGAGGAACCCCCGGGCCCGCGTGGAGCAGCGAGGGAAAATAATTCGGTGACCTCGATGGTGGAACGCGCGTAATCCTTGGTGTCACGGGGGTTGGAAAAAGAAAAGAGCAGGGAGAAACACGGCGGCGCGGTGTGGCGCGAACGGGGGTTGCAGCGGACCAAGAGGAGGATTCGTATATACGGAACGAATAAAGGCGGGATTATAATAAGCCGGGCTACGTTACGAAATTGTTTCGTTCTCTATTAATAACGGCGACCTGGCCGTCGTCGTTGGAACAGGGCTAGGGACACAGGGCGGCACCCCTTTCGCCACGCGACGATTATTATTGCCGCCGTCAGGGGTACGTTTCACCCTTGCTCGCTGGGGCGGCGAGTTTGTTTTACTCGCGACTACGAAGCTTCGTTTCCAGTCATAATAGCTGACCGGTTTTCATCTTCTTAATGCCTCGTTGCCGGTGCGCACCGGCGACGAGGGCTCTCAAAGGAAATAAACCGTCTTTGATACTCGCCAAGGCACTCGTAATTGAATTTGCCGGATATCGAGATGTTCCCGGCTGCGTCCTTCCTCTTGCTGCTCTCCTTAAAAATTCCTAATTCGCTAAATGACCAAACGAGCCTCGCGTTTCGAATTAACGAGCCACGGTTCTGCTCTTGCTGCCTCGAGAGCTTCTGCGCCTCTCCTTTGAAGACCCCACGGCTGTTACGTGCTTCGTCGGGGGCGTAACTCCAACTCCTAGAAATCGCGACTGGAATGGCGCGCGCGCGCGCGCAGGGGTGAGAAAAGGGCGATCGGATTGGCGGAACGGGGCCGGAAATCGGCAGAGACGCGGCTGGCCGTAGCGGCAATTTACTTTCCGCAATAGTGGCAGCGATGACGCGGCGCGTCCATTGTTCGCACACGCTATTAGGCTCTCGATTCTGTCTCCGGTGCAAGCGTCATCCTTATCGAGGTGCAGAGGTTGAGGCCTCGTTTGCGCGAGGGACCGGGGGGAGGACGCATTACCGATGGCACAATGAGGGAAACGCGGCAGGCAAGTTGGTCTCCGATACGGATTGCGGTGGCATTGATAGTAACGAGCCATTAGGGGACGCGTTAAACGTATCTCTGGCGAATCCACTGTTCGCTCAGCCGGGAAACGCCAAGACGACGCTTCCGCGAAGAATGGATTTTCCTCGCTCGGATTTGTATACCCTCTCGCCTCGGCGAACTTCCTTTCCACCATTTTCGCCTCGTCTGTCGCTTTCGTCGACGACGACTCTCCCAGCGCGAATATTCCCGTCCCAGCGATTACCATTTCCCCTGTTTTCTTTTTTCCTTTTCCAACTGCCGCTTCGCGACTTTTAATTCCCGATAGCTCGGCAAACGATCGCGGGTCGCGTGGCACCGGCACTCGAATCGACGAATCGCGCGCAATCCTTGTCCGTTTGTCATATACACGATATACACGATCCTCTCGATGGAATAAATAGAGGCGATGGAAATAGAGCGACGCCGCTCCCACGAAGAAACTGGCGATTCTCGGACGCGCGAGGTCGCTCATTGAAAACTCGCTTACGAATAGCGAGCGAGCAACAGGGTCAATCCCTGCTAGATTACTTTTCAAGTGTCTCAATAGGACTAGTTTAGTCGACTGCTTACGGCTTGTTACCGCGGTGAATGCGAGCCGCGCGACAAAACGACACCCGGGCACAAAGCCGCGAGCGACATAAAAGAGCGTTCAGGCCCATTCACCGGTGTTGCGCGTGTTACGTTTATTAAGTTGGTTAAGTAGACACGCACCGTCAGCGAGGTTACTTTTTAAGCCGGCGCCGTTGTTGCCCGCCGGCATACGCGTCGCTTCCGGCTGGTCGGAGCGGAATGGCATTTTTCACGCGACCGCCATGATGTTTCTGTTTCAGTGTAGTTACGGCTTCCGGCACGAGGGACAGCGGCAGAGTGCGTGCGCGCGAACGCCAGAGCGAGAGACAGAGTAGATAGAGAGTGCGAGATACACAGCACGGATCGCCGCAGTGCAAATCGGTGCATCGTGAGACAGGTATTTACAAGCGTTTTCAAGTAGCCACCGGATCCGCGCGGACGGTATCGCAAATTCTCGCGTTCGACCGCGGTTCGCGGTTTCGCGGACAATAACCCGGAAACCGGTTGTCGTTTCGTCGTCAGCTGCGAAAAATTCGTCGGCCTCCGACTCCAGCCATGGCGTCGCGTTATCGTAGGAATCACGAGGCAGTTCCGCGAGCTGCGTGCCGCGATCAGCAGATACGTGCCGCCATAAAGCTCGCGTTATCTTAACGTTATTGCATATGACGGACGTGCTCCGTGCTGCTGCTGCTGCAGGAGCAACCGGTTCCGCAACTGCAACGGACGCTCTGCGCGGATACCGTGCGACTGGATGCCACCGAGTTACGAGACACGCTGATAAACGCCAGTCCTCCGGCCTAATTGAAAGCGTGCGATTGCCTACTGTCCAGGTCTCTTAAAGGAGGCGTCCCTTAAAGCGTCATCCATATTTCCGATGTACAATGTAGCAATGTCTTCGACTCAATTTTCGCGGACACAACCAAGTACGGGGCACGACTTCCGGTTTTCTGATGGGGTTGGTACCGATTGGTTGCGAGGTCGGCTGATAGCCGCAATCGTGCTACACTCGTTTACGCGTGTACGCGTAATGCGTTATTACCAGTGTCGTCGCTGATGATAATTAATAACGAAGTAAAATGCAATTTGTAATATGACGAATCGAGGAAAAATAACGCATTTCGCGCACGGTTCGCTGGATACGTGTAAAAATGTGCCGGGAAAAGGTCATAAAGCAATTGATTCGCGACGGAATATGAAATTCGCGTTAAACCGAGGCAAACGATAGAAAAAGCAATTTAAAATACGGAATGGCGCGCGATAATATTTTCCAACGCTTGTGGGCTTCCCGGGGTTGAAGGTGGAAGTCGAACTCGTTTATAATGTCCAAGGACTACGCGTAAAATAGCAACCCTTATTAATTTTCTTGAATTTTTAAGCAATAAATGCGCTTCCGGTGATCCTGGTGATGTTCCAATGTCGTAATATCGACGTAAATAATTTTGACTAATTTTTCCAAGCAACCCTTATTAATTCTCTCGAATTTTTGTGCTTCTGGTAGTCCTGGTGATCGTCGATCGTCGCAATATCGATGTAAATAATTTTGACTAATTTTTCCAAACTGTAACTAACCGCAGACACGCGTAATTGGCAATCTTTCGAGAAATCGAGAGAACCGTGCGAACGTTTTGGACGATTAGACTTTTCGCGAATGCGCTTGATCGAAAATACGAGCGTCGCGACGCCTGGTCGCGATACGAAGGAGCGTCGGCGCGGGTCGCTCGCGGCCACTTGGAAATTCGATTATCACGAGCGATCGGTCAAACGGCGCATGGAAATTTTAATTATCGAAATCTACCGTTCGCCACTTGCGTTCGGATGGAATTGCTCGAAGCGCACGGAGCCGAGAATTTTTGCCCGTGGTACGAATCACTTGGCCGGCCGGAGCGATAATTATCGCGATAACGACGTTATCGGTTCTCTCGTGCTGCCGCCGTTAATCCGGCACACGTTACAAAGCTAGCTACGATCAAGCAGCAGCAGCAGCAACCTCGACGCCGGCGAACGAACGAATCGCCGTCAGGCTAGGACAGTGCGCAGATGGCCGAGCCCCGTTCGAGCATAATCTCGTTGATTTTGCAAGATAGCGAGTAGTCGCGCAGATTGGCCGGCAGAAGGACTCTATTGGATCAGCGGCACCCTTTGTCTCGGCGTACTTTCAAGTGTATCCGCGGGACAAAGTACCAACTGCTACTGTTTTTAAATAGTTTAGCCAGGAATTGGTTGGTCGCCGCTGACCAGGCAAAGTAGCTTTTGTTCCCGTTGCTCCACGCCGCTGATTCACCGAGCTCTACTCTCTGCGAGATGCCTCCATGCATATACTTTGATCTCCACGCGACGAACGAGACGGTAGAACTGTCGTTATTTCCCTTTTCGGATCTCCGGATTCATTTTCCCGGTTTCAGCGCTCTCCGCTTACCAACGGACGCTAGATGCGAGAGAATATCGACTCGAGTGACATTTTTATGGAATTTCGTAGGGTATTAGGTCTCACTCGTTGGTCAAAATCCGTAAACCATCTCGTTTCTTACCAGCCGTGCTAATATAGGTTCGATAGAACCTCGGTTATCCCTTTACAACGGTTTTCCAGTTAACTCACTAGCGCCACCACGGTCCGTATCTCCGCACGACAAACGTAGCGTAGGTTTATTGCACCGTACGATAACCTAGCGAAATTTTCTTACTACTCGTATGCTCGATACGAAAAATTATTAAATCCTCGAAGCAGCCATTGCAAATATTTCGAATCTACGTTTACACGACCTATATCGCGATTGTACACGATATCGTGCGAGGCTTTCGGTAAGGAAATCACTAGGCGAAGACCAAAACACGAGCGTCACAGGTGCCTAGGCATAGTTCGTAGACGGTTCCAACGTAAACAGCACCGGTTAGGCTCACGGTCAACATTCGTCGATGTCTTTCCGCCTCAGTTGCGTGTTATCCTTCGTCGCGTTAGAACGAAATGGCTCGACGTGTGACTGATTTTCCTGTTGCTCGTGCCACGCCCCATCGAAGCTTCGACAGTTCTCCAACGAGAGTTTCGTGAGTAATATTTATTTCACAACCCTACAATCTTTTCACCGTTCCAAGTAAAATTTGGGATCGATAACAGACTGGTCCGTGACGAATAGCAGAGCAATCAGTTAGAGGGTTTCGTCGGAGGAGAAACTAGTAATTTACGTAGCTAGAAGAATAGTAATTTACTACAATATTTAACACGTTAAACGCCACGCTGATGCCACAGTTAGCCATCATGCGGGTCTTTCCGGGTCTTACGGAAAGTCTAACTCAGGTCCCTAGGGACCGACGTGGCGTTTAACGCGTAAACGATTATTTTTGGTGGTTAATTTTCGCCTCGGTTACGTGTTGCTCTTGACATGGTTCAACGTGTGACGACTCTGTCTTTGATTATGGCCCGCGCCATTGGAATTTAAATCGTAGGGCAAAGGATCGACTAACTTTCTATCGAAAGAATACAAAATTGGTCATTGGAAGGGAATTTTTAACTTTTCAGCTACTCCTTACGTACCGACTGCGATGGCGGTAGCCACCGATCTGTCGGGTAAAAACGCGGCATCTCGCAGGATTAATTACTTTCTACGCCGGAAACGCAATTCTCCGGCACAGGTTGACGCGGTCTGCGGTTAACCGAGGTGCACCGCGTTATATAAATCCGTGAAACGGGCGTCGGGGCGGGTCGATCGCGATCGCATCGCGGTCTTTTCACGGACGGCGCGCCGCGGCGCTGGTCGTCGGCGTTCGGCGAGCAGCTGACGGGGAATCCTGGCGTCGCGTCGGTGCAAAGCTCGCTCGGCA